CCTATTCGATGTCGAATATTGACTAATATTGTATATTTTTGGAAAATATTTCAGCCGTTCCAAATCTCTATCCTATTCTTCCTTCTTCCTTTATTCTTTCACAATTTGCATTTATTCATACTTTTTATTCATAATTTTATACACTACACACATAGGCTAGTCACTAGGTTTAGGCCTAGGCTATGCCTATTACTATGTTATTTAAATATACAATTTTAATAGATATTAATTTAACATAGACATAGTTATTCATACATTATTTTTTGTGCTTTAGACCAAGTGGTTGAGGAGTTATGATCATCATATGTTGTATAAAGGTCATTGACCTCTGACCCTAAATATTTGGTCAACGGAGCTACTAGAAGGTGGCAAAAATGTTTCAATAAATGTTGATCCCAAAAACCTAGGTGTAGCCACTATTTTTGTGCATCTAGGCAAACTGGTTGAGGAGTTATGACAATCATAGTTGTATAAAGGTCATTGACCTTTGACCCTGAATATTTGGTCAACGCTAAAAGGCAAACATGTTTCCATAATTGTTGACCCCTAAAACCCAGGTGTAAATACTATTTTTGTGCTTTTAGAGCAAGTGGTTAAAGACTTATGACCCAGAACATGTTATATAAAGGTCATTGACCCTTGACCCTGAATACCTGGTCAACGCAACTGTAAAAAGGCGGCAAAATTTTTTCCATAATTATTTACGTATAGACGTACAAGAATATACAAAAAGTCCTTTTATTAGAGTTTGTTTAAGGTTAAAACATATTTAGCCTCTACTATATATATAATTATGGTAATAGGAAATTTGTAATTCTTCTCTACCAGCTTATTCATACACTCGGTAATCATAAGGTGGGAAAAGCAGGGGCGGATCCTGAAGTTTTGGTTAGGGGGAGCTATAGGTATATGTGGTCTCTTATACACATCTAGATGTGTATAAGAGACAGGTACTGTAAGAGTGGTTGGATTTTGAATTCCTCCAGAAGTCGAAATTTGTGAAATTCGAATATTGTTATAGTGACTGCATTAAGCTTTCAAAACAATCTGATAGTACTTCGTTGAAAACAAACTGAATAAATAAGTATATAATTGAAGAAGAAATATGTGGTAGACACCATTAAAAATAATAACAGATGCCTAGTTGTTGTTGTCCAGTGCAGGTGGATTTGAATAATTATTCATTCATTAAACAACATTTATTTCCGTAAATGTTAAACAATATTTATAGTAAATCATTATTATAACAAGAATATATGTAAATAAATTAATAATATGAAAAACGATTAACTAATGGCAAATAAAAATATCTTTTCACGTAGGATACTCACAGAAACAACATAATTTAAATAAAAATATTAAAAAGGCAAATTATACGCCATGCTTAAAATATTGGAACCACGCTTCGAAAAAATATTAATGCAAACGCAAGGTCAATAAACAGACTTAGCGTGTCACTTGCTATGTACTAAAATAGCAATTGTTTGTATCCACCCTTTAGAATTTTGTGCACCACCCTTAAAATTTTGAGGACATTTTCTGAAATTTCACTATTCTTTAAAAATCCTGGTGAAAGGGTTGCCATGGGGAACATAAGAAAATGAAGAGGGTGAAAACAGTTCCATAATAAAAATACTGTCCCTAAAGATAAAATTTGACAATGTTAAGGAGAACCTTAGACGACAAAATAATTCCCCTTAAAATATGTTTTAAATGTAGTAGTAGTATCCGACAACAAGCAATCAAGAAAAAACTAAGCTGGAACAACTCTCTCGACACGAAATGTTCAGTGTATCATACAAACGTTTAAATACCTGCCTCTGACCCAAGGGCGTCGATCCGTGGCTGAAAGTGGGGGGACGAGATGAAATATAAAGCCTTGGGCCGTAGGCCCAAGCAATAGTTGGGGAACAGGGGGCGAAGCCTCGGAAGCTCTGGCGCATATAGCATTTTAATTGATTTTAAGCAATGCAATTAACATTTATTTCCATACGAAATTTTTAAAATATCCAGTGGCGGATCCAGTAATTTTAAATAGAGCTGGGCCCAGAGAGGGACTTTTACAGATGGAGAGTGTAGCTGGACTACCACCTCAGCCCTACCATGGTTGGGGCTGAGGTAAGAAAATTTATGATTATGACACCTCTAGATTGCCTGAAATGGCACTCTCAGACCTAAATTCTAATTCTAATTTTCCTTTTTTCCATTTAAAAAAAATAATTTTGAAAAAATTAGGGCCGGCTCGGCCCCACTTGAATCTGCCACTGATTATTATGGCGTCATTGCGAGACTGCGTCAACGTCACTGGAGTTGGTAAACTTTTGGTAGGCTTAACACTTAATCGAAATATGTAGACATCATATCCGTGAAATTAGAAAAAAACAGTAATCCTATGTATGTAGATAATATTAACACTTGTATATACGTACGGGTCATAATAATATACAAAAGAATAAATCGTTTATATTAGAAAGTGTGCACTTTTGAAAATATTGGCCTA